GAGAGAGAGAGAGAGAGAGAGAGAGAGAGAGAAAGACTGCGCCATAGTGTGCGCGCGCGCGCGCGCGCGAGAGAGAGAGAGAGAGAGAGAGAGAGAGAGAGAGAGAAAGACTGCGCCATAGCGCGCGCACGCGAGAGAGAGAGAGAGAGAGAAAGACGGCAAACCCGAGCAGGCGGACGCGCGCAGGGACATCGACGGCTCAGCGCGGCAGCGAACGGCGGCCCCAATAACGAAGATCGGCGATGAAGACGACAACGGCGTGCAGCTGAACTAAAAATTGAACGCGCGTTCAAGTTTCTTTGAACGCTCGTTCAATTCTTTGAACGCGCGTTCAAGTCTTTTGAACGGAGGCTGGGGGTGGATTCCTGTGCTCGACCCTCGCCGCATTGTCGGCGCTGTGGAGGTTTAGGGGTCGTGAGGGGTGCGTGGCCGGCACAACAGAGTGGGCTCGGGGTTGGCCCGACGAGGCCTGGTGCGGGGAGGGACGCCGGCGGGAGTTGGAGCATCGTGGGACAGGTTGAGGGCGGACCTCTTCGGTGAACCCATCGGCGAGCGGGCACAATGCCGTGAAGTCAGTCTCGGGTGTTAGAGGATGGGGGGGAGGACGAGAATCGGAAGGCGCAGAAGAAGTGTTGCGTGTACAAGTACATCCGCGTGGGACATAGTCTCGGCAAAAGATTCCGCAGCAATCGCATGTTGAAGTGCGTTTTCTGCGGCCACGAGTTCCAGGGCAACCAGTTCGTGGCGGCGCGCCATTTCCACCAAGGCAAGGGATGTCCGGAAGTGACCGACGAGGCACTTGTCGGCATCCACCACAACAGTGAGTACAAGATGTCCGACAAGTTCCTAGAGCGGATCCAGCGATTTGAGGAGCTTCACGGTGCGGCGCCTGCGACGGATCCGCGACGGGACGAGGGGGGGGAGGGAGAGATGAGGGACGCGGAGGAGCAGATCGACGTGGACGACGACGTCGAAGAGGTTGCACGGGCGGGGTCGTAAGGGAGGGAGCGAGGGAAGGGCGTTGTCAGCGAGCCAGGGGAGCAGCAGGGCCAGTACTTTGCGTCGGCGCACGTGTCTGTTCGTACACGGGCAGGTGCGGATATGCATGAGGGGGGTCCGTCTATGGGGAAGAGGAAGGAAAGAGAGGAGGGGGCCAGACTGATGGCAGGACAGAAGAGGATGAGACAAAACACGATCACGGAGTCATTCACTTCAAAGTGGCAGAGGGAGTTCAAGAAGAAGTGGCTGCGTTTTGTGTACAGTCAGCATCTGGCGTTCAACGTCTTCCAGAGCGAGCCGTGGTTGGACGTCGTCCGACACTTTAGGGATTTGCCTTTAGGGATTTGCCAGGGCCAGTGAAGGTGTTGTGGCCTTCAGAGAATGAGATCGCGGACATAGAGACCATTGTCCACACGGCGGACGATGTGGGAGCTGATCTCGCGGAGGTCAGGGCCCCTTTCTATGTCACGGGGGCCACCATTATGTCAGACGGAAGGAAGTCACACGATGCTAGACCCATCGTTAACTTCCTTGCCAGCGGGTCGTGTGGGGTGATGCTCGTCCGGACGATGAACAGGGAGGGTGAGGGGGATCGGGCGCCTGATGTGTTGGCGCACTGGATCAAGGTGTTCGACGAATTCTCCCCTAAGTGGGTGAACGCCATCTGCACCGACTCCGCCTCGGCGTACGTGGCCGCGGCGAACATGCTCCAGGGGCACCAGCAGAGGCCAGAGCATCGACGGATCACGTGGCTCCCATGCGCAGTGCATGTCTGCAACAAGATGTTGTCAGACATTGGCTGTTCGGGCCCATGGTCCAAGGACATCATCGTGAGGGGGAGAGCGGTGGTGCGCTTCATTAAGGAGCACGGCGCCGCTCTCCATATCTTCCGGGGGGAGAGAGGTCAGATGGGCCTCATCTATCCTTGCGAGACATGTTTTGCATCCGTGTTTGCGATGGTGGAGCGTTTGCTGGCAGTGAGGTCAGCTTTGGAGAGGACGGTGGATGGCGATACTTGGGGTATTGTTCCTTGGGACCATTCCGTTCGTCATATGCCTAGGTGGGTCAGGTGGCAGGTGCGACATGGCAGTTGGTGGTATTCCATGGGCATGTTGTTCCGTATCATGGAGCCTGTGTACGACCTGCTGCGCAGGTTGGACCGCGGAGGGCTGCATATGTCGCGGGTGGTTGAGTGGACATAGGATCTCGCCCGCCAGGTAGCAGAGGAGGTTTGTGGACTTCCGGGAGATCTTGCATACTACATTGTGCAGAGGGTGCAGGCTCGATGCGCTCACATGTTGGAGTCGGCGCACGCCACTGCTCACCTTCTCTGTCCCAGCCGGCGGGACTTGCGGTACTTCGAGGGCGTGGTCAGCGACTACGACGTGAGTTTGGTGAGGGAGGCGGAGACTTACATCTTGTCGTAGACAGGGTTCAGTGTGGCGAGCCGCGACTACGAGACCGCATGTGCGCAGTTGCGCGACTTCCACACACGGAGGGGGACGATTGCTTCGGGGGGGAGAGACGGAGAGAGAGATGCACAGAGGTGCAGGGGCGATGCGGAGACGTACGAGTCCGGGTGTTGGTGGTCGAGGTACGGGCAGTACGCCCCGCATTTGCAGGTTATCGCTCTTCGTGTGATGTACATGTGGACGTGCTCCTCTCCTGCGGAGAGGAATTGGGCCGTCCACGAGGGTGTATAGATGAAGAAGCGTAACCGGCTTGAGTTCGAGAAGGTCGCGAAGTTGGTTGAGATCTCAGCCAACGTGCGCCTTCTCTCTCATCAGCGGGCAGGCCGCGGGTTCGCTCTGCCGTGGACTCTAGATGAGTCGTTGTTGGACGCGGAGGGAGGTATTGGGATTCGCCCCTCGTGGAAGGGGACGGACGAGAGCAGGACGCGGGAGGAGGTCAAGGATCAGAGACGTTCATGGCAGCGAGACCCATGTGGGTCCAGAGCTCCTCCGGGTGATGTGGGCGATGTTTTTGGGACTCGAGCCGCCACATTGCACCCGTACGCTCGAGACGATTCCGAGGGTCACGAGGACGAGGAGGAGCCGGCGGGCCAAGCTACCGCCACTCCTGCGGCGGATGAGCGTGATGAGTGGAGCGACCCAGAGGACGTCCATAGACGGAGCGGCGGAGATGACCTTTTCGTTCGAGTTGATTTGGAGGAGGAGTCTTGGGGCCGTCATGGGAGCCCTTTAGAGCGTCTGAGGCCTACGTCCGCTGAGCGCGAGAGAGATCTTGGGTCTGCACCTTCGAGGGGGGCAGAGTCGGGGATTGGCCATCGTCCTGTGGGTCGCTCTGGCACGACATCATCCACCGCTCTTCCCACTTCGACGGAGCAGCTCCATCGACAGGCAGCCGGTGCAGATCGATTGCAAAGATTGGTGAGGGGCCTGAGACAGCGATTGGAGGACAAATTAGAGGGCGGTCCTATGCCCGTGCAGGGTGACGACGGAGACACACAGGGGTTGGTTGGTGGAGATGGTGGTGCGTTGGCCGTAGGTGGAGGCGGTGCCAAGTTTGATGCAGCGGTTAAGGGGATACCAATGGGCGGCGGAGGCGGTTTCAGTGAGTTTGGTGACATGGGTATGCCCCCGGGAGAGAGCGTGGGTCTGGCCCGAGGAGAGAGCGAGTCTAGTGGGGACATCAGTGTGGGTATGCAGGACTTACTGGGACAGATCAGCTTCGCGGATCCGAGTAGTTTCTCCCCTGCCATGCGCGTAGAGGTGATGTTGGGGGCAGAGGGGGATGAGGACCGAACACCCCCTGGAGAGACATCTGCAGAGAGGCTGGATAGGCTTGATAGTCGTTGAGCTTGTCTCATGGCACAGAGGGACCCCAGGACGTAGGAGCTCGCCCGTCTTGCGGCGGAGGACCGACGAAGGCAGCTGGGGACATTCACGCCGGCGTCCGTTGACGTGGGGCTGGCTGCCCACACGGATCCTCCATCGGACGAGCCACGTTCGAAGCCGGCGCAGCCTCCTGCCGTCCAGCTGAGGCCCGAGGAGACATTGCAGGAGGTCGCGGGCATGCCTTCACCCGTGGGTTCAGTTGAGGGTGCCTTGCATATGTCCCCGGGTCTGGAGGACATACAGACGGGGCAGTCAGTGCGCGTTGATGATATTCGCCCATCGGCACAGGCGGAGGGGATAGCACCGACCACCGAAGGGGACGGGGCCGTAGAGGGGGCCGTTGGTGTTGGCGGGTCAGGGGTGTTATCCGCGGCCAATCCGATGTCCACAGCTGGCGGGGGAGACCCCGCACTGTTGGACAGGCGTGACGCAGACGGACAGGAGATGCCACAGACTTTGGTGGTTTGAACTGCTGTGAGGCCAGTGGTGCCACATCAGGAAACGTTTTTGGAGGGTTATAGGCGTCCTGCACATGGCGGTGGCCCGGTCGAGGAGTGACGTGTAGGCAGGGGCGCGTGCATACCCACGGTCCCTACTTTTGCGCCGTCACGGACGAGGCTGGAGATCAGGCATGTGGCTACGCCTCGGGGCAGCCTCCCTTTTGGTTTTATGACCGCTGAGGAGTTGGAGGACCACGGCAGGAGGGATTTGACGGAGATCGACCAGCGCGTTTTGAGGTCAGTCCCGGAGGAGGGGAAGCTGCCTCACGTGCAGGACTTATCTTGGGGGCCAGCCAGCCCCAGCTTACCTTCTGGGTGTTCCATCGCAGCGCAATCTGGCGGGGCTGCAGGGGACTTACCTTCTGGAGGTTCCATCGCAGCGGCATCTGGCGGGGCCGCAGGGGACTTACCTTCTGGAGGTTCGGTTGCAGCGCCATCTGGAGGCGCCGCAGGCCCTTCGTCACCCTGACTGCAGCTCCTAGGAAGGGCGGCAGTCTCACCCCAAGGTCGGTTGCCCGTAGACGGAGAGACACTACCCAACGTGCGCGGGAGTTGCTGGACACCATGTTGTTCGGTCGCATTGATCGACCATGGAGTGAGACGAGACGGGCGACGACGGCGAGTGGCGGTCGTCAGCCAGGTTTGAGAGGGGTTTCCACGAGCGCGAGACGCCGAGATGTTGTAGCTTCAGGGTTTGGCGGTAGAGGGGGCGGCGGCGGTGGCAGTGGTGGTGACGGCGACGGTCGACGTGAGGGCACAGGCGGTGCCAAGACGAGCGCAGTGGATCCGCCGCGGACGTACGGTTTGAGAGAGACGTCGATTATTTTGGAGGAGCCTGATGTTGTTACACGACTGAGGCATGACCGACACGTGCCCTTAGATCGACGCCAGGAGGGGGAGACTTCAGGGACTGACGGTCTACCTATGGCACGCGAGTCACGCCGACGTGATGACCTAGCAGCAGCAGCCATCATGACGGTGAGAGGAAGGAGAGTCATTATGGACGACGATCCCGACGAGCTTCCCGTCGCTTCCGAGCCTTCTGCCGGCGGACGCGGCGGTCAGCGTCAGAGAGATCGAGGACGTGGCAGTGGTCGGTCCCACGGACGAGTTTCTCATCGGTCCGAGCGAGATCCAATTTCGCACGACGATTGTTGACGGATTACGGACTTGCGTTTTCGTGACTTTCTCAGTGTACTTTAGTTTTTTGTTATCCATGACAGACGTAGTGTCTCGTGAGGTTGTATTATAGTCTACTTTCCAGTGGGTACTTTTCTGCGCAGACGTAGTGTTTCGTGATGTTGTATTATAGTGTAATTTCCAGTAGGCACTTTTCTCCAGTTTGCTACTTCGGAGATTGTAGCTTTCCAGTGTATTTTAGTGTACTTTTTCGTCGGCATTTTCGGGTTGGTACTTCTTTCCACAGACTGGCGGGGCTTCGACACGATGTGTCAAATTTTTGCTATTATCAATGCTATATTGGTTTGCGTTTTGCTTCGATCATTACATCTTGGCATTTGCGATGTTTCTGTTTTCATAGGACGAGTGTTTTGTGTGCTTTGAGTCCACCCTTGGTTTCTCTGAAATCTTACTTCCCACTCTATGAGCACCACAAAAACCTCGGGCACCCGGGGGCGTGGGCGGACTTGGGGGGTTGGGGTTTGGCGCAATTTGAACATGCACGAAACCCAAGCCCCCGAACCCCCCAAACCACCTTTTTTTTTTTTGCCTGCAACCCTTTTTTAAAAATTTCTCTAACCGCTTGTTTTGCGCTATTAAAAAAAATAAAAAGAAAACAGATATTTTGGAAAAAAAAAATAAAAGAAAGGTCGCAGTTTATGTGTGTGTGTGTGAATGTGATTATGTGTGTGGGTATTTGTTTGTGTAAATGGGTGGCGCAGTTTGGGGAGTTGTACGTGTTGGCGAAAAAAAATGTGCCCGTGTGTGTGCAACGGTCTGAATTCGTGTGTGCATGTGCGTGTGTGTATATGTGTGTGTGTGTCAGTGTGTGTGTGTGTAAATGGGTGGCGTGGTTTGGGGGGTTGTAATTGTGGGCGGGNGAGAGAGAGAGAGAGAGAGAGAGAGAGAGAGAGAGAGACGGCGAACGCGTGGAGGTGGACGCGCGCAGGGACATCGACGGCTCAGCGCGACAGCGGACGGCGGCCCCAACAACGAAGATTGGCGACGAAGACGACAACGGCGCGCAGCTGAACTAAAAATTGAACGCGCGTTCAAGTTTCTTTGAATGCTCGTTCAATTCTTTAAACGCGTGTTCAAGTTTTTTCAACGGAGGCTGGGGGGGGGTTCCTGTGCGAGGCCCACGCCGCATTGTTGGCGCAGTGGAGGTTTTGGGGCCGTGGGGGGTGCGTGGCCAGCACAACAGAGTGCGCTCGGGGTTGGCCCGACGAGGCCTGGTGCGGGGAGGGACGCCGACGGGAGTTGGAGCATCGTGGGACAGGTTGAGGGCGGACCGCTTCGGCGAACCCATCGGTGAGCGGGCACGATGCCGCGAAGTCAATCTCGGGTGTTTGAGGATGGGGTGGAGGACGAGAATCGGAAGGCGCAGAAGAAGTGTTGCGTGTACAAGTACATCCACGTGGGACAGAGTCTCGGCAAAAGATTTTGTGGCAATCGCATGTTGAAGTGCGTTTTCTGCGGCCACGAGTTCGAGGGCAACCAGTTCCCGGTGGCACGCCATTTTCGCCAGGGCAAGGGATGTCCGGAAGTGACCGACGAGGCACTTGTCGACATCCACTACAACAGTAAGTACAAGATGTCCGACAAGTTCCTAGAGCGGATCCAGCGATTTGAGGAGCTTCACGGTGCGGCGCCTGCAACGGATCCGCGACGGGACGAGGGGGGGGAGGGAGAGATGAGGGACGCGGAGCAGCAGATCGACGTGGACGACGACGTCGAAGAGGTTGCACGGGCGGGGTCGTTAGGGAGGGAGTGAGGGAAGCGCGTTGTCAGCGAGCCGGGGGAGCAGCAGGGACAGTACTTTGCGTTGGCGCTGGTGTCTGTTCGTACACGGGCAGGTGCGGATACAGCTGAGGGGGGTTCGTCTGTGGGGAAGAGGAAGGAGACAGAGGAGGGGGCCCGACTGACGGCAGCACAGAAAAGGATGAGACAAAACACGATCACGGAGTCATTCACTTCAAAGTGGCAGATGGAGTTCGAGAAGAAGTGGCTGCGTTTTGTGTACAGTCAGCGTCTGGCATTCAACGTCTTCCGGAGCGAGCCGTGGTTGGACGTCGTTCGGCACTTCAGGGATTTGCCGGGGGCAGTGAAGGTGTTGTGGCCTTCAGAGAATGAGATCGCGGACATAGAGACCATTGTCCACACGGCGGACGATGTGGGAGCTGATCTCGCGGAGGTCAGGGCCCCTTTCTATGTCACGGGGGCCACCATTATGTCAGACGAAAGGAAGTCACGCGATGCTAGACCCATCGTTAACTTCCTTGCCAGCGGGTCGTGTGGGGTGATGCTCGTCCGGACGATGAACAGGGAGGGTGAGGGGGATCGGGCGCCTGATGTGTTGGCGCACTGGATCAAGGTGTTCGACGAATTCTCCCCTAAGTGGGTGAACGCCATCTGCACCGACTCCGCCTCGGCGTACGTGGCCGCGGCGAACATGCTCCAGGGGCACCAGCAGAGGCCAGAGCATCGACGGATCACGTGGCTCCCATGCGCAGTGCATGTCTGCAACAAGATGTTGTCAGACATTGGCTGTTCGGGCCCATGGTCCAAGGACATCATCGTGAGGGGGAGAGCGGTGGTGCGCTTCATTAAGGAGCACGGCGCCGCTCTCCATATCTTCCGGGGGGAGAGAGGTCAGATGGGCCTCATCTATCCTTGCGAGACATGTTTTGCATCCGTGTTTGCGATGGTGGAGCGTTTGCTGGCAGTGAGGTCAGCTTTGGAGAGGACGGTGGATGGCGATACTTGGGGTATTGTTCCTTGGGACCATTCCGTTCGTCATATGCCTAGGTGGGTCAGGTGGCAGGTGCGACATGGCAGTTGGTGGTATTCCATGGGCATGTTGTTCCGTATCATGGAGCCTGTGTACGACCTGCTGCGCAGGTTGGACCGCGGAGGGCTGCATATGTCGCGGGTGGTTGAGTGGACATAGGATCTCGCCCGCCAGGTAGCAGAGGAGGTTTGTGGACTTCCGGGAGATCTTGCATACTACATTGTGCAGAGGGTGCAGGCTCGATGCGCTCACATGTTGGAGTCGGCGCACGCCACTGCTCACCTTCTCTGTCCCAGCCGGCGGGACTTGCGGTACTTCGAGGGCGTGGTCAGCGACTACGACGTGAGTTTGGTGAGGGAGGCGGAGACTTACATCTTGTCGTAGACAGGGTTCAGTGTGGCGAGCCGCGACTACGAGACCGCATGTGCGCAGTTGCGCGACTTCCACACACGGAGGGGGACGATTGCTTCGGGGGGGAGAGACGGAGAGAGAGATGCACAGAGGTGCAGGGGCGATGCGGAGACGTACGAGTCCGGGTGTTGGTGGTCGAGGTACGGGCAGTACGCCCCGCATTTGCAGGTTATCGCTCTTCGTGTGATGTACATGTGGACGTGCTCCTCTCCTGCGGAGAGGAATTGGGCCGTCCACGAGGGTGTATAGATGAAGAAGCGTAACCGGCTTGAGTTCGAGAAGGTCGCGAAGTTGGTTGAGATCTCAGCCAACGTGCGCCTTCTCTCTCATCAGCGGGCAGGCCGCGGGTTCGCTCTGCCGTGGACTCTAGATGAGTCGTTGTTGGACGCGGAGGGAGGTATTGGGATTCGCCCCTCGTGGAAGGGGACGGACGAGAGCAGGACGCGGGAGGAGGTCAAGGATCAGAGACGTTCATGGCAGCGAGACCCATGTGGGTCCAGAGCTCCTCCGGGTGATGTGGGCGATGTTTTTGGGACTCGAGCCGCCACATTGCACCCGTACGCTCGAGACGATTCCGAGGGTCACGAGGACGAGGAGGAGCCGGCGGGCCAAGCTACCGCCACTCCTGCGGCGGATGAGCGTGATGAGTGGAGCGACCCAGAGGACGTCCATAGACGGAGCGGCGGAGATGACCTTTTCGTTCGAGTTGATTTGGAGGAGGAGTCTTGGGGCCGTCATGGGAGCCCTTTAGAGCGTCTGAGGCCTACGTCCGCTGAGCGCGAGAGAGATCTTGGGTCTGCACCTTCGAGGGGGGCAGAGTCGGGGATTGGCCATCGTCCTGTGGGTCGCTCTGGCACGACATCATCCACCGCTCTTCCCACTTCGACGGAGCAGCTCCATCGACAGGCAGCCGGTGCAGATCGATTGCAAAGATTGGTGAGGGGCCTGAGACAGCGATTGGAGGACAAATTAGAGGGCGGTCCTATGCCCGTGCAGGGTGACGACGGAGACACACAGGGGTTGGTTGGTGGAGATGGTGGTGCGTTGGCCGTAGGTGGAGGCGGTGCCAAGTTTGATGCAGCGGTTAAGGGGATACCAATGGGCGGCGGAGGCGGTTTCAGTGAGTTTGGTGACATGGGTATGCCCCCGGGAGAGAGCGTGGGTCTGGCCCGAGGAGAGAGCGAGTCTAGTGGGGACATCAGTGTGGGTATGCAGGACTTACTGGGACAGATCAGCTTCGCGGATCCGAGTAGTTTCTCCCCTGCCATGCGCGTAGAGGTGATGTTGGGGGCAGAGGGGGATGAGGACCGAACACCCCCTGGAGAGACATCTGCAGAGAGGCTGGATAGGCTTGATAGTCGTTGAGCTTGTCTCATGGCACAGAGGGACCCCAGGACGTAGGAGCTCGCCCGTCTTGCGGCGGAGGACCGACGAAGGCAGCTGGGGACATTCACGCCGGCGTCCGTTGACGTGGGGCTGGCTGCCCACACGGATCCTCCATCGGACGAGCCACGTTCGAAGCCGGCGCAGCCTCCTGCCGTCCAGCTGAGGCCCGAGGAGACATTGCAGGAGGTCGCGGGCATGCCTTCACCCGTGGGTTCAGTTGAGGGTGCCTTGCATATGTCCCCGGGTCTGGAGGACATACAGACGGGGCAGTCAGTGCGCGTTGATGATATTCGCCCATCGGCACAGGCGGAGGGGATAGCACCGACCACCGAAGGGGACGGGGCCGTAGAGGGGGCCGTTGGTGTTGGCGGGTCAGGGGTGTTATCCGCGGCCAATCCGATGTCCACAGCTGGCGGGGGAGACCCCGCACTGTTGGACAGGCGTGACGCAGACGGACAGGAGATGCCACAGACTTTGGTGGTTTGAACTGCTGTGAGGCCAGTGGTGCCACATCAGGAAACGTTTTTGGAGGGTTATAGGCGTCCTGCACATGGCGGTGGCCCGGTCGAGGAGTGACGTGTAGGCAGGGGCGCGTGCATACCCACGGTCCCTACTTTTGCGCCGTCACGGACGAGGCTGGAGATCAGGCATGTGGCTACGCCTCGGGGCAGCCTCCCTTTTGGTTTTATGACCGCTGAGGAGTTGGAGGACCACGGCAGGAGGGATTTGACGGAGATCGACCAGCGCGTTTTGAGGTCAGTCCCGGACGAGGGAAAGCTGCCTCATGTGCAGGACTTATCCTGGGGGCCAGCCAACCCCAGCTTACCTTCTGGGTGTTCCATCGCAGCGCAATCTGGTGGGGCTGCAGGGGACTTACCTTCTGGAGGTTCCGTCGCAGCGGCATCTCGCGGGGCCGCAGGGGACTTACCTTCTGGAGGTTCGGTCGCAGCGCCATCTGGAGGCGCCGCAGGCCCTTCGTCACCCTTGACCGCAGCTCCGAGGGAGGGCGGCAGTCTCACCCCGAGGTCGGTTGCCCGTAGACAGAGAGACACTACCCAGCGTGCGCGGGAGTTGCTGGACACCATGTTGTTCGGTCGCATTGATCGACCATGGAGTGAGACGAGACGGGCGACGATGGCGAGTGTCGGTCGTCAGCCAGGTTTGAGAGGGGTTTCCACTAGCGCGAGATGCCGAGATGTTGTAGCTTCAGGGTTTGGCGGTAGAGGGGGCGGCGGCGGTGGCAGTGGTGGCGACGGCGACGGTCGATGTGAGGGCGCAGGCGGTGCCACGACGAGCGCACTGGATCCTTCACGGACGTACGGTTTGAGAGAGCCGTCGATTATTTTGGAGGAGCCTCATGTTGTTACACGACTGAGGCAGGCCCGACACGTGCCCTTAGATCGACGCCAGGAGGGGGAGACTTCAGGGACTGACGGTCTACCTATGGCACGCGAGTCACGCCGAATACCCTTACAAGGGTATCCGCCCTGGGTTTTGCAAGTAACAGGAAGGCTCGGTTAACATGGACTTTGAGTGCCCGTGCAGGAAATTGCGAGGGTCGTCCGCACGCGGGCAAAGGTTTGCCTTGTCCCCGTAGGGAGTATGTGGGCGCGCAAGTTAAGGTGCGCGTGTGATTTTTCTGATCAAGTAGACGCCCGGGGTAGCGGGCCGACCCAGACCGTGCTACGACTTTGGTTAGGGAATGATAATTTGTTTTTGACCGGTGCGCGCGGCCCAGCGGGAGGGCTGGACGGCCACGGGCGGGGTGGTAGGCTGGCGCGGGCGCCTAGGGGCCGTGGGTACAACTGGGGGTTGGAAGAGTAGCCGGGGCGGTATCCTAGCCCGGAATGCCGCGCGGTGCCACTTTATATGGGAAACCGCGCCTGCTAGTCACAGGCTTGGGCTTAGCCCTATCGGTTACGGCACTGGACTGTTTCAGAAGAGGTACGGGGTTCGAGACCGGCGGATGGTGGCACGGGAGCGACGGAGCAGCGAGAAGCCGAGGGGTCGAGGGTCCCCACAGGACTATCCCCCTTGGTTTTGTTTTGTCGGGGGAGTCCGACGGT